CAGGGAGGGAGGGAGATGATACGACCTACAATTGAATGTGGCCCACCAATTGAAGGGCACTGGTCTATAATTATTGAGGTCATTGGAAGCATTATCTCCAGTACTGAATTCTTTGGAAGGCAAAGACAATTTCCCCCTTGAAGCAAGAATTCACGAGTCTTTCCCTTAAAATTTCGAGTGGGGGACGGGGATTCCATGGGAACGCTCCCATGTGAAAACCATGCGGTGTTTAATTGTAATTGGATAAGAAAAGTTCACAAACTTCTTTGTTGCAGACTCTGCAGCCAACCATGAGGCACGTTAAGGTTGTCAGGGGTTACCAAATGAGAGCGTTTCATGGTTAGATTACTTCACTTTACCACCACCTCCCCCCCAAGCCCCAAACCCCACGTTCACATGACATGTGTCAGGACAACTTCCAAATCAGCAGTCTCACCAGGACCCTTTAAATCAGCTATACCTAGAGAGGGGACCCAGCAAGGGAATCCGGTGGCCACCGGTCGATATTTCCACGTGTCGACGTTGTATGAGTGGACAGCCACTGTTAATCCTGCAACCGCTGCTGTGCTGTCCACCCTCCTCTTATTACCGGGGATCGCTTCTCGAGATGGATGAGGGTTTTGGTGATGGAACAACATTTGGTGACCCACCAACTCAGCAAGGATCTTCTCTGCTAGCGTTTGTTCAATTATTTTGTTTAATTAATATATAAGCGGAATTTAGGCATTAAATCCAAATTCAATTAATCAATTTGACCCCCAACCCCAAACGCAGCATAATTTGATTCGGATTCTTGAAATAAGATTCTCAAATTTGACTGGCTTAGTGGATGATATATCAAATATCATATCCCCCACTTAGCACGTGATTTTTTGTAGACGTATTCATACAGGAAGCAAGATGGAACTTGAAAGGGTGCAGTGCAGAATGAGAGAGAGAGAGAGAGGAAGGACCATTGGGAAAACGACATACCATTACTCCCAAGAAGATGACAGTTAGAAAATTAGGGTTTTGATCTCTCTCTTTCTCTCTCACCTGTCCATGATGCATCATGTAGTGTCTCTACGCTCAATTAACTACTGACTACAAGCCATATCCATGCTGTCTCTCATCTTGTGAATGCGTATGTAACACGCACCTTCAGTCTTCATGCGTGCAAACACACCTGTGGAGTTGCAGAATCGAAAGAAAGAATTCCCTTTCCATGGATTTTAATTTACCTCTCTCGTTATGATTATTAATTTATTACGAAGAAATAAAAGGAATAAGTAAAGGCCAAATCCTTGTTAATCATGGATTTTAGGGTTCTTATCATCAATTCATCGACAAAGCCATCAGAATTGAGAAAGAACATGCTTTGATGCTTCCAGATGCAGAAATCCCGAGGCAAAAGTTGGTAGTCCCAGTCCCGGATGAGCCAAGAAAGGAACCCCGGCAATTACGCGCTGTATAAGTAAAATGAAGCTACCAAAGTACCAATTTTCCGTCCCGTTTCTTGTGTCTGCTGTGTGGTACTGTACACTACAGAGATCTTAGATCAGATCATCATAGCCTTTGCGATTCTGTGGCTTGTGGACCGTACACGCGCTTTGTACAGACTACAGAGCCTGATGCTGAAGTTGTTACAGCAGTGAAGGCTCTATCACCATTTTTGGCTCGTCGGAGACCCATCTTGATTAGAAAATGTCTTCTTTTTTCAGGTTGTGCTATACCAGCCTTAGCATAAGCAATTATGCATGCATCGTTAAAACTTATAACCAATCAGTGGGAATCGATAAAATTGGTTTCCATCAAAGGGAGGTTGATTGGTCAAAACCTCCCTGTAGCCTAATGAGGCAAAATTGCTCAGTGAAAGATCATCATGATGAAAACAATCAAGCACAAAAGACAGACTAACCGACCAGGTATGAAAAGACTAACCCAAATTTCTCAGTTAAGTGAGCTGCACTATTAGCAGATGTACAAGCAAAAAGACACTGATCAGTTGGGGATTCTTGACAATGTAAACTCTGCTATGGGATGCAAGTGATTTAGTCCATATTTGTATACATTGGGCGTAGCATATAATTATAATGATTTGACAGACTAATACACACAAGAAATGCAGAGTTATAGCAACTAATTACAGAATCAATTGGAGCAGTTAATTGGGTGTGAGAGGAAATAAGAACGGTCAGTTTATTTATTTATTTATTTATTATTATTTTTTTGTTGATTCCACAGCATGTGATGTGATATCCAATTCCAATACATCTGTGGTCCTATGTTAGACCTCAATGCGACAGTTGTTTCTTGCAGAGGTGGGGTTGAAAAATAAAAGAACGCAACAGAGTGAAAAAAGCACGAATTGTATCTTTCTTTCTCTCTGAAAATATGCTAATTAATCTCTATCAAGGAGATCTGAATAAAGTGATCTGCGGGTAGAAGACCGATTGGATAAAAAAGAAAAGACGAAAGAGATCCAACACTTTTGTGGGTTTTTTCTTTTTTTTTTTTTTTTTGTTATTCTTTGAACAATCAGAATCAGAAGAGCACAGTGCACATGTTATCTTTTCGCCCCACCCATAACAAAAATATAATTTCCAGGAGAACAATGAATGAAGGAAGCTTCAGCAATATCAGCCCCTGTTTCATCGAGAACTACAGACGCGGGCAAAACAATACGACATATAAAATGTATTTCTGTGGGTCATAGATAAGTGGGTTTGATTATTAAATAAAACTGCATCCAAATTCCAAACCCAAAGGTGGTCCCCTCTCCCCTGCGCTTCCCCTTCCCCACTCTTTTCACCGCCTCAGACAGTCAGATGCTCTGCTTTTCTTCCTACCAAATACCAAATTACAGGTCTCTCTCTCTCTCTGACAAGGCTTCCGCAAGGACCGAAACGATCGTTTTCTCTTTATCCGATTGCAACATGTCTCACTGTAACAACTCAGCTTTCATTGTTGACTTCCAACCTTCTGTGTTTTCATTCTCACAAAGCAAAAGAATTATGTCTCCATGGAAAGTAAAACCATACAAGGAATATCAAAGGTTTGTAGATGGAATTGGCCGAGAAGGCGAGTTGTCATTATTGCCATGCCGCTCATCCTTGTCTCCTCATGAAGACAAACGGGTTTTGCAGTCCACTGAATTTCAACGACAGGACACGTTTCAGTGCCAAATGAATGAATCATTTTAACTGCTAGTTCCAAACATGAGTTTATTGCCATTCACCAGACACCAGTCTCATCCAAAATCCAAATTCCTTGTGCCAAGATGCAGACCGATTTTTTTAATTCTACCAATAACCATCCCCATCCCCAGGTAGATTATTAGTCTGATAATATCCAAGATGATTTAGGTTGGTCTGCCTTTAAATTATGTGCTCCAACTCCAAGAAGATATCCATCACTTTTGAACTACCAAAAAGTGATTGGTAGAATCAGATTCCAAAGGCATGCATGGGCATGGCACAGGTAGAATGATCTCCATGCCATTGGTTGCTAAGAGTTCCTAATCACTGGGAAAGCAAAATAAAATTGCCATTCAATATTCACCCAAAATTTTTGACTGGTTTTAGCAAACTGCCCCTTTAGTTTGGACCACCAATATATAATTCAATTACACCAGCAGACTTAATTTTTTAGATCTATGGATTTTCTCCAAGATATTGGAAAATTCAGAAAATTATAAAAGAAATTATATATTTTAAATGATTTTCATTTCACTATAAAACTACAATATGGATCCATTAATGATCCATTGAAATCTTTGATCTGACAATAATTTGTCCAAAATTTTTAAGAAACACATGGAAACTAAAAATATAATTTATATATTCTAAATTATTTTCATGGAAAGAAGTATAAAATGGGATTTCACTATAAAATGGTGTTCACATTAAATGTCAAGCCGATCAAACCAGCCCAACCCAACTCGAGTTAGTCGATTTTTCAAAATCACTGGTTGGTTTTGGTAACAACTCGGTTTGATTTTGGTTTTCATGAAACCAAACCGAATAAGTAATTATTAATTAGTTCCTACCTCATATGTTAAATGTTGATATATTTTATTTGTGTTTTGTTTGAACTTTGAAAAAAAATGGTTATTTATGATAAAAACATAAATTTTACATAAGACAATGGTACAATATTTAATTCAGTTTTGTATAAATTTAAATATATATTAACAAAAAATCAGTTTTGCATAAAAAACTAATCGATTTAAATATATATTTTGGTTTTGCATAAAAACTAAAAAGAAATAAATTTAAATATAAATAGATATTTTAGTTTAAAATATATATAAAAACCGACCCAAACCAACCCTTCATGTTTGGGTCGGCTTTGCTTCAGGGTCAGTTGGTTTTGGTTTAGTCAATAAGTGAACCAACTAAATCGGGTTGATTGAAAAAAATGACTCAAACTGACCCAATCCAACCCGTAAACACCCCTAAGGATTATCAATGATGTATCAAACTTATGATCTAAAAACAAATTTATGACAATTTTTAAGGTATTGGATAGTTGATATCTACATGTATTAGATTTCCATTATTGTTGATTGTAATGTATCTCTTATAAAGTATTAAATTATGCATTTCTTATGTGTTTATACTTTACTCATTGTAATATCAACCTTAGATTTAGTGTTGTTAATGTAATTATGAAATTTGCGAAAGTTTTCCCAACGTATCCAAGCATATCCATATCCAAACATACTATGACGCATATCAATATCCAAGTTTATCGATACGATACGCAATGTTAATATTTTGAGCCTCGAGGAACAATTAGCTATCAATTTGTTGGTTATACCCTAGGAAATTAGCTCCGAACTTCCATGCAAGTAGAGCCTGAAATTGTCGATTAGTAATTAGTATAGACGTGAGGTGCGAGCACACATCGAGCAAACTTACCCATACAATGTAAAAAAAAAAGATGGAACATATAATTTGCACAAATCTAAACCATAAAAGTTATAATGATTTTCATAATGCCTTAAATAAGCAATCCTCAAGTCAGAAAAAGCATTCATTTACCGTACCTAATTCTCAACTTCTAGTGGCCAGTTGTATAAGGGAGATTTTCACTGTGTCTGTGTTTGATCATTGCCCAAAAGCTCGTCTACACAAAATTTATGAAGGTATGCAAACATTTCCTTCCATTTTTGTACTATTTCCACTGATCTTTTGCAGTCAAGATTCAACCTATCCACCTCCATTCCAGTGGCAGCAGAACTCTGTTGCTGAAGAAAATACCAGGAAAGAAATGTTAGGGCGAGGATTTTATGTTATCAGAGGACAAACAGGCAACCTAATTATAGAAAAATAATTACCTAGGTTTTTGGCCAAGACAAATTATTAGCAAAAAGCAGTAGATATTGAAGATAATAGAATAACAAAATATAATAATAGTACAAAATGATGTATGTTGGACACTGTGGGAAGAAAGAAACTCCAGGATATTCTCAGAAACTCAGAGAAGAGCAGCAGATCTGAGCGCTATTATACATATTAAGACGGTACAGTGGCTGAAATCTTTGGAACTATTCACAGATTACATTGTGGATGACATGTTGAGGAAGTGGGGTGAAATTGCAAATTGCACGCAGACCAAGTCAGTAATAAGGGTGGCTTGGACCCCCCACCTAGTGGATTCTTGAAATTAAACTTTAATGGGTGTAGTAGGGGAAACCTGGGACAATCGGAGATCGGGGGTGTTTTTAGGGATGAAAATGGGGTCATCTCTGCTATGTTCTCAAGCCCAATTGGAGTGGGTGATTCCCTTAGAGCTGAGATCTTTGCAGTTATAGAAGGAGTTCGGAAAGCTAAGGAATTGAACATCAAGAAACTCATAATTGAAGGGGATTCAAAGGTGGTGATAGGGTGGTTGACTAAAGATCAAAATGATTTATAGAAGTACAATAATGAGAGGAGGAAATTCAAGTGGCTGGTGCGAGAGATGGAAGTTAAGACATGTTGGATTAAAATATAGGCTAATTCCCTAGCTGACGGTTTAGCTAAACAAGGGGCAGAAAGGGATACATTGTTTTGGGCTAAGCTGTAATGTGAGTGTTTTTTTCTTTTTTTCCTTTCTTGAAGCTCTTTGCGACTCTTGGAAGATAAGTGTGTTTGTCTTCCACTTGTAAATTTTCTACTGATGAATTAATGGAAGTGTTATTGATAAAAAAAAAATAATAGTACAAGATGATCTTTGTTCAAACTTCTACAAGGCCAACTTGTGGTAGAATCAATGATCAGCAAAATACGAGCATAATATACATGTGTACACATGCATGGAGTATCACATTATACGTTCATCATCAGAAACCTTTTAGTAATTCAAAATTGGTTAAACGTTAGCCTTTGAAGGCAAAGGAAATATAGTGTGGAGAATTACTTCCTTTGCTGTCCTTTATGGAATTTGGAAGGGACCAGAATAGAAGAATTAAACGAAGTACATCCACTTCTACGAATATGTAGAAAATAGAAACATTCATACATCATGGTCTAGGAGCTAAAGTTCAAAGAGTTTATAGAGATGTAGAGGACGGATGTCAAAAAACACCAAGAAGCAGCAAACTTGCTGGCACCTTTATGTAGTATTGTAAAGCATGCATTTCATGTACTTCCAGAACTTTTCCGGATAAAGCAGATCCCTTCTTTCACTTCTTTTCTACATAGATTAATAACTGTCATCTTGAAGGTATCAATAAGTTTCCTGGCTGGTTCCAGTGAAGACTTGGATCAATGAATGCCTTCACCTGGATTGGTGGACTACTGGTATTGGGGCAGCTCCACTGTGCACCCCGTGCCCCCCCCCCCACTCCACCCGCAAGACACAGACACGGGAGAAAAAGCAGAAACCATTCTATGTTGCTACCATAAACAACTGCTTGAATTTCAAGGATAGAAGATTTTCTAAGCAGTAAGCACCATATGCTATATTGGTCAAGGCATTACCTAGGCAACAAGACATCCTTGGTGTGACACTTAGCCTGAATGCCAGAACTTGTTCCAAAAAAGGTTTCCTTCTAGGTGAATAAGAACTTGCTTAAGCCAATAAAAAATCACAAAGATGACATCTCGTAGTAATATTATTGAAATAATCACATCTTATTAATGTGTTAGTAATATCATATATTGCTCATGTTTTACTTTAAGGTTGTACATTTAAAAATATAAAATCTAGGGGTCTTCAGAAAGGAGAAAGAAAGAAAACCTGACAAGATTTCTGTGTATCAATTTTGCAGTTAAAACATCACCTAGATGATCGACTCAACTAGATAGGATCCTAACCATATGCATCATGTACTGGTGCCCTGGGTAGTCAGATTTACTAATCCCATGCATATGCTGTAAAAGTCCTTGTATGATGCAACACCGATTTATCCATATACAACATTAATGAATATTTATATTTCAGTATTATATCGTCATCTGCAAAACCAAGATAGGATATGCCAAATATATTGTTAGTAAGTGATGAAAATAAAGAACTAATTAGGATTTGATAGGTAAAGGATTCCTCAAATGAGAATCCTTAACCATAAGAGAGAGATTGAGGCTGCCACCATTAGAATTACTTGGGTTGATATAGTACTGTTTGGTGTAGCTAATGTAATTAAATAACTATTCTCACCAGGAAAGGATTCTAATTAAATAACTATTCTCATCAACTCACCTAGATAGGATTCTAATCAGATGCATCATGTGCAGGTGCCTGGATAGTCAGTCTTAGAAATCCTATGCATATTGTGTACAAGTCCTTATATGACATACCACCAATTTATCATTGTATAGCATTAGTAAATATAAAATTTTATTATTGTTGAATATCATCATCATCTGCAAATATAATATTAGTAAAATGGAACTATTATTTTTCATGGTTATTTGTAAAATGTTACTTCTATAGCAAGGGAGTACCAGAGGCATGACTCCATACCAGTCATCAATTTGATTGTATATGCAAAGGTATTCGTAGCATGTTAATGGGCTGTGTGATGTTTGGAAAAAACAGGACCAAATAATAACATATATGCCACAACTACATGAAATGTAGAATTATTTTAATATCTACAAATTGCATTAATGAAATGATTCAACATTTTTTATGACTAACAAAGGATTCAAGAACATTATGATAAAAAAATAAAGAAAACCTGAAGTTCACTGATTTGCTTCGTCAGAACATGATAACTGAGATATGGAGCATCCATTATGTCACTGCTGGGTGTCTGAGGTACAGAAACAGCCCCTGAATCAACATTTTCATCTGTCGAGTTTACATATTTTCCCAGTGGCGGTGGCAACAGTGGAGCATGCCTTCTAGAAAAGGAAGAATGTGAATTTTCTGATGTCTGACGATTCGAGTAGAGGGGTCGTCTAACAACAAGAACATTGTTCACAGGACCTGACAAGTAGAAACAGACAGCACCACATATAAATTGAAAAGCTGATAACCTTTGAAAATCTACATACTAAACAAATCTTCAAAATGGATGCATGGAAATGTAACATAAGAGAAACTTCAGGCAATATTAGCTACCATTTGGATAGGAAGACATCCGTTAGGATGCCGTTATTTGTTGAAAACTCTCATGTGTTGAGGAAAGTTGGCACAAAGTTGTGATGTCCCTAGTTTGTTACAAGCAGATCAAGACCCAACGTACTTAATGATACAAGGAATGAGTTCAAAAATTCATTACTGGAAAAAGTAAATGCATTTAAAATCCACATTGAAGTAGTTTTTGAATGAACACAGACAAATCTACAATGAGATAGCATCTGATCATAGTATCCCATATTATAAAATCTCTTGATTGATCTTAAGGCTGATCTTCCTAGTATCCCTACCACAATACCGCCTTGAAAGAAAACACCAGTGATAGGCTCCTGAAATGCTTAAAGTGATGGTAGTTGTAATGGACTGAATTTCATTTCTTGGAAGAAAACACTTTAGGCTATCATTTTCTAATACTTGAGCTACTCACCATCTATCTACCTCCTGAGGCCAGACCTCTGATATTCCATTTCTTTCATCTCAAGGCTAGGCATTTTGAATAAAAAAATGAAGACCATCTCCCTCCTCAGCTTTGCTTCCAGTGGCTGAGCTCCCCAGTCCCCAGATTGTCAGCTAGCAGTTTAGCACCTAGGTAAGCCTTAACAACCCTTGAGGTAATTGTCTACTTTTCCCTTCCTTTCCTCTTTCTAACCCCCTTAAAAGATGGATCGATGTCTAATCTCCTTCAGCAATGCACACTCTTTCAATCCAGCAAAAGGTACCATAGAGCTCACCTCTCAAACTGTTCCAGTGACAAGGGTTTTTGCTAGACTGAAGGGGGGTTGGAATTAATAAAAGGATCAAGAAGACAAAAAGAGTCGGCAAGAAAAAGAAAGCAGTTGCTAACAATCTTGATGGAGGTTAGAGAAGGGTGTGTTTTGCTCCTTTGGGCAGGTGGTTCAGATAGTGAGGTTTTCTCCAGTTGTGATCTTTGGAATGGGGGTCTTGCTCGGGGTTTTATTGTAATATTTTTTGGTTGTTTGGGTGTGGTGTGGGGTGTTTCGAGTTTCATTTGGGATTGGGTTTTGTTCCATTTTCGGGTGATTCCTTATCACCAGTTGTATTCCTCTTTCTTCTTAGTTAACATTTATTTCTTTATTTATCTTCAAAAAAAAACCACAGAGCTCCCCAAAATCTAATAGTTTATACAACAAAAGGATATCTTTTCATGCTGATGATATACCAGCTCTGACTGTGGAGTCAATGATGGAGTTCATATGTGCAAAACAAGAAGGAAAAAAATCAGGGAATAGCACCTAGGCTTCTATAGGAATCAGCAGCTAATAGAAAGGGGTGAATAGGGGTTCCTTTTTTTCGGTTCATTTCTAAATTTGTTTCTTTTTTATGCTGTTGGGGGAGTTAAGACAGTTTACCTCCCCCTCTGATTTGTAATTAAATAATTAAAGCTTCACTGTTTTAATAAAATTTGCCGTTATTGATAAAAAAAAGTAATCAATACCACCAAGAAAATTTGACATCATATAGAAAACTAAGCCTAAGGCAATTTTTGGTTTCAATTCTAATCCCCTTTCACAGCAATATGGTCCTTTCTAGATTTGTTTTCCTAATAAAATAATTCCTAATCACTCTCCAGCCCATATCTATAGCTGGATTGACATCAAAATTGACTAGAACTCCTAAAAAAACTTCTAGAAATTGATTTCCACTTAAAACTACGGTAAGTTGTTCATTGTCACTGCATTACTTTTGGAGTATACTAGAGGATGGTTAAAGAGATGCCCTCACTAACACATGAGGTGATAAACAAACTGCAAGTCTTACACAATCTGATATATTCACTGTCTAAGATCATGATAAAGGGGCCTAAACAATCAGATTTTCCCAAGATGCCTATAAAGACCTCCATCTACTGCAGCTAATTTATAACTCTGGTGTGAGCAATCTGAGCCACTTCTCTTGGCAGTAAGCAATGCCCATGAAAAGCTTTGGTGATCCTTTCCACCCATAGTTTCAAAAGGCACATGCAAAATAAATGAGGTACTGACATTTTTGTTACTTTCCTCCAGTGTTTTACAAGGCATCAGAGGTGTATGCCTGGTGGCGCCCCAACAATGTCCTGAGGTGAATGCTAGAGGTGTTGATGCCTCTGAGGCATACACCTTCACCTTTTGCACAAAGCGTGCTAGAGATGTATGCCTCATGCACACCTTATACAAAAAGACAAAAAATAAATAAAAATAAAAGAAAATAAATGAAAGAGAGAGAAAAAAAAAGAGAAGAAAAAAAGAAAGAAATTTATCAAAAAAAAGAGAGAAAAGAAAGAAACGAGGCTTCCTCCTCATCCCTCTCCTTTTAATGAGGCTTACACCTTGTGCTCGGGAGGATCACACCTCTTATGTTCTGAACTATGCCTCACGCCTCAAGGTAGTAGAATGCCTCACATCATGCCTCTGCACTTTAAAACATTGTTTTCCTCTGCCCTATGCTTACTCTTAAGCACAAGAGACTTAAATGAGTTTGAGTTGAAACATGCAAACAAGCAGCTATTCTTTTGGATTTTCCACCAACATGTAACAAGAAGAAACCAAATTAACACTCTCAATCTAATTAAGTTATATCTTATATCCCATTGATAGAGATGTTTAGCATTTAGAAAACCTCATAAGCATTGTAAAGTTTAAAGGGAAATGATGCCCCATATAAAAAAGGGTGGCCTAGTGCATGAGGCTCCTGCTAATGCAGAGTCTGGGGAGGGACAGATGTACACAAATTTACTTCTACAGATACATAGACAGGCAGTTTCCAAGATTTGAACCCAGGGTGGAAAGGTTCAATCCATCAATTCAAACTATTAGGGTGGTCATGATATACTGCTAGGTGCAACTCATAATTAGCAAAACCCTTGAGAGTAATAGTCGATTATTCATAAACAAGGGAGAATTAAAAGAGTTTTAATTCAACTCAACAGGAAAGGGTTCCATCCGGAATGCTGAATCAGTTTGGCATTAATTGCTACTACCTAATAGTGTTGAACCTAAGAGGTCACACACAAAAGGGGGCAAAAGGCAATCAAAAGTAAAAAGAAGAGTGTGCACACTAAAAGGGTTTTAGTGGAGGGACCCAATTGCAATTATCCAAAACCTAAGAGTTAAGTTTTGCCAATTCTAATTAGGGGCAAGCTCTATATAAACTATGCATGGGGCGGCCCTAAGGTTATGAAAAAAAGAGAGTGAGACCAAAACCTTAAAGAGAGAAAGATTGCTAGCAAAATCAAGAGGAGCCACCTCATCTTTTCTATTATTCTCCTTTCCTTCTTCCATTGAAGAGTTTTGTCTGCTTCTTGCTTTGTGTGGACTATGTTGGAGGCCAAAAACGTGTGAGGCTAGAGGAAAGAACCTCCCAGAATCAATTTATAACATTCTTCAAATCGTTCCAAGAGGTGATGTTTAATATTTTATTTATTTTGGATTTTGCACAATACCATGGGTGTGATCTTGGTAAATTCAAGATTCTATTATTTTATTTTTCTGCTGCAAATAATTAAAGAAACTGCTAGAATTTTTCAGGCCCGCCCTCTGATGCACCATATATGCACTAATATATATATATATATGCTTATATATTATATAAGCATCATTTCAGCAGGATTGCCACCACCTAGTTACAACTCCAAATATGGACAATAATGAACACCAACAAATATAAATAATGCTGATAACAGAAACTTTGTGGAATAAGACAATATTATGATGGCCTAGGTAATACCTTTGGCAAGTCTATAAATTCGAACAATGTTATGGGTTTTAGCATCCCAAACTCGAATTGTGCCATCCTCTGATCCAGAAACTAAAAGGATTCCATCCTTGCTGAATGCTAAGCAAGTAACACCCTTGCTGTTGCACACAACCACATCAAAAACCCATACAAATTACAAAAAAAGGTTGGATCAAGTTGCAGAAAAGTGGCACTTTTACAATAAAAATACAATGACTTGGTGAAGCTAAGCATCCTACATTTCCACTCAACAGATAATGTAATATAACCTAAATAGTCATCAGTTTACTTTCGAACTCTCGCCTGATCTGCCATAACTCATTTCATCATACCTATGCTGATTGCAGACCTAACAAGAAATAAGTGTGGTTGCTGCATTTAGGATATATGTCTACATATGATTATGAAACCCTTTTTGTGCACATATTCAGCATAAATTATTAGATAAATGTTGCTAAAATAGAGGTTGAAAATGTCTACAATGTACAACCAGGTCAACCTCTTTTAATCTTGTCAACTACAATAGCACAACCAGTAATGGTCAGAAAGTTACTAGAGATTGGGCTTTCTTGAAGAGGCAGAATTGGTAAACCACTTAGGTTTGCATTGCAAATTTGCAAAGGATCTATTTCACAGGCACCGAGTCCATTTCAGGTGTAGAGATTTTCCTTAGAGCTGCTATGGAGTTGCCAGATAAGGGTTTGAGCAGGAGAGGAAAAGTAATATAGGCGGCAATTCCACTGGCAGTGGTTTGGTCAATCTGGGATGAAAAAAGAAAAGAAGAATTTTGGAAAATAAGAAAGAACAGAAGATGTTGTAATGAGAGAGTGGGGGAAAATTTATTCATGGGTGGCTAATCCAGTGTTTTAAAAGCACAAGGGCCAATTTGCACCTGAGGCACAAGGGGAGGCGCGCGCCTTTCTAAGCAAGGCGCAAAATTACAAAAAAAGCTAAAAAAAATAAAAAAAATGTCAGAAAATTCAAAAATGCAAAAAATATTAAACATAATGCTAATAAAAAATATAAACTTAAATTTTAAAATAAATGTAATAAAAAACCTATTATCTAAAATTAAAAATACATAAACATAACATTTAAAGCATATTCAAATGAAAATTTAAAAATAAAAGCAAACATATAAAGCATTTTCAAGCATATAAAACCCACAATCTCTTTTTTCCTTAATTGCATTGTTTCAAGTAGCTAATGTGATGTAAAACATATTGCATTCTTGATTCTATGAGTTGCCTTTGTACCACGCCCCTCGAGGCTCCGAGAACCCCCTATTTGCTAATGTTGTTCATTCATTCATTGCAATAAAATATCTTCTTAAAAGGCAATGAAAGTTAAAAAATCATTATTTTTTATTTTATTTTTTAATCAATAACTGTTAATTGAATTAATATTATGAAGAATTACAAAGCAAGGGAGCTAAACAATCTTAGCTCCCGAGTACAACCATTGAACACCAGAAAACAATTACAGTACAGCCCAAAATATAGAGTTTCTATTCACCCCTTGCCTAGATAGACCATCTGCAAATGAGTTTGCACTTCTCTTTACCCATTTGTATTGAACTTCCATGTCCTTAGTCAGCCACTTAAATTTTCTCTTTTCATTGTTGTAATTCCAAAGCCTAGAGTTATCCTCTTTTAGCCAGTTCACCACAACTTCAGAATCTCCTTCTATGATCAGCTTATTAATATGCATATCCTTGACCCTGTGTACCCCTTCAAGAGGTGCAAGTATCTCAGCCCTCAAGAAATCTCCCACCCCTATTGGTCCAAAAAACATAGCTAACAGATTCCCTTGTTCATCTCTTATTGCTCCCCCTATTCCAGATGGCCCTGGATTACCCATTCTGCTGCCATCAAATTTTAGTTTAGTAAAGCCATGGGGTGGAGGAATGCAACAAGAGTTTGAGGCCTTCTTAGCTGAAGCTAATTCTGCTATCTTCTTCCAGTTTCTTAGCAACTCATCAACTGAGAATTCTGCAAACAATGCCAAAGCTTTCAACCAATGTATCACCCTAATATGGATGACCTCCAATATTACTTCCAAGCTTCTCTCCTTTTCTGAGAAGATCCGTGAATTGCTCTCCTCCCAAACAGTCCAACAAACTGCAGCCCACATACACCTCCACATAATCTTGGCCCCTTTTGTTGGCCAATTCGGCATGGAAGTGAATAAGCTTTGCACATTCAAACGAGGGGTTCACCTACACCCAAACAAAGAAGTACACCATTCCCAAATGACTTTAGTAAACCGACAAAAAATTAGTAAATGGCATCTAGACTCACCATCAGCTTTACAGAGAGCACATCTGTGAGGATACAAACAACTATTTGGTCTTTTTCTTTGAAGTAAATCTCTTGTATTAACTCTTTCCAGAAAGGCTTCCCAACAGAAACTCCCAACCTTTGGAGGTATAGGATGACACCACACCTCTTTAACAGGGAAGGACAAACCAAAAGAAGAAGGTTGTATTAGGGCTTTAAAGAAAGAAGCACAAGTGAAAGAACATGAGGGAGTGAGTGTCCAAATTCTACTATCTGCCTTTGTTGGCTCTGTCCCTGATATCTCTTCTCAAGCCCAAGTTCCAGCCGAACCCAGAAACTGAGTTGGAAGGAACAAGGAAGGAAGAAACCGGTTCGTTTTTAAATGTGGAAAGAGCAAAAAGACTCGGGATTTGGTCTTTTAAAGAAGAATCCCCAATCCAAACATGTTCCCAAAAATTAATGAGATTGCCTAAGTGCAAGTCATACCTGATCCATGGAGAGAACAATGGCAAAATAGCTTGAATAGCTTTCCAAGAAGATGCTCTTGTAGTCCTTGCCAGAATCCCAAAATCCCATCCATTGTCTACAACCCCATGAATACTACCCACTATCTTCACCCAAAGTTTATCCTTCTCCAATGAAAATCTCCATAGCCATTTCCCTAGTAGTGCCAAGTTCCTATTCCTTATGTTTCCAATACCCAAACCTCCCTCCCTCTTACTCCTACAAACCATCTTCCACCTAACCCTATGGTCCTTCTTCTCCTCCCCCGGCTCCTAGAGAAAGTCTCTATTAGTTTTTCTAATATGCTAGCCACCCTAACCGGAATCTTAAAGACTGACAAAAAGTACACAAGAAGGTTAGCTAATGTAGACCTGATTAGAGTGATTCTCCCTCCAAGAGACAAATAATTTTTCTTCCAAGTTGCTAGTCTCTTTTCAGACCTCTCCACAACCGGAACCCAAAACTCACCTTTCTGAGGGTTATCTCCCAATGGCAAACTGAGGTAGTTAAATGAGAAATAAGAATTTCAAACTCTAACATAGACTTGTTCGGGCTTGCCTCAAGGGGCATGGTCGGGGTCGGGGGGCAGAGCCCCTGGCCTCGCCGTTAGACTCAAAAAAAAAAAAAAAAGCAAAAAGCACAATTTTAAAAAGGCGCACGCCTAGGCACACCAGGCATGCACATACCCCAAAATGCACCTCACTTGTGCGCCTAGGCGTGCCTTTTAAATCACTGGGCTAATCATTGAGGGTTTTTTCATACTTCTACTATTTTTATAACTGCATACATTTTGCACTTAATCACATACAACAATTGTAGGGTAATTGATAACAGTATACATTTTGATAAGCACTTCCTCTCTCTCTCTCTCTCTCCCCCAAGTGGGTTGGTCTTCAATCCACACCTAAACCCACCCAATTCTCACTCTAGGGCGGAGTCCCATGGTTTCCTCTGCTGAATACATGGGAATAGATGATGTTACAAAATTAAAGGAATGCACGACTTAACTACTCATATGTCAAGCAGGCAAAGCTTTATTAGTTGGTCTCATATGGTAGATTACCAATGTAAAATCAAGGTTTTTTTTATGAATAATGTAAAATCAAGGTTCAGCTGCAAATTAAGCTAATTGAGGTGTTACAGTACTACAGTAGTCTTAGGAGTAACTAGTAAGTACATAGATGGTTTGCTGAGAAGCGATCCTAGAAGATTCTTGTTTGTATTACCTTATAAAAGAAGCCTTTATGAAGTTCATTTTAATGGGTAGTAACTGAACATGCACGTGCTACTGCAGGTAGCCAAGGTTGATTTGTGACGACCTGCCGTTTCAAAGTTGGGCTCACCCGTTCAGTAATTCATACATCCTAAGCAGTAAGCACTCCCTTGGACTGATTTCTGAATCCACAAGAAGGTAATTTTCTGAGGACCCGCCCTGGAGCATGCATGTCTCTGATAATTCTGAATCCAACAACCAACCAAATGTGATGAAATTAGACAACCATATGGCTCTGGAATTTTATTATTTTTTCTTGGTCTAGCTAATAGAATGTTTTCTCCATTCAAATGATTCTACTACACGTACATAACTCTGCTACTAGTCTCAATTTTGGTGTCTTAATCCATTTTAAATTCACCACATGTTTGCCTATGTTCTGTTAATTAAGTAGGATTCTTCTAACCACAGTTTTGAATTCCTTTAGTTCAGTAACTTTAATTTCATTTCTTACGAGGGTGGACATACAGATTATACGAGGAGCCACAGGAGCCTATAGACTGTCAACACGTCTGTGTTAATTTTTAAGTGGCATCTTGTAATTGAGATGATGTCAATAACTTACCAAAAAGTAAAATCCTTACCCCTTTTTTATTTTTTTTCATTCGGGTATAGAGGAAATGAGAGTGGGGCAGAGCAAGGTGTACATGAGGCCCACCGGCCATACCACAGAGATCCTGTGGTTCCACTGATTTGATCCTACTCTACCATCTAGACTACTGAGTAGAAATAAAGTTTGTTTTTCCCTAAATTTGGTAGAAACTAGAAATATAAACCAGATTTTACAGATTGAAAAAGGTTTTCAGCTACTTTACAAAGCTTCTTTATTTTTTGGTAGCAAAGCTATATTTTACACAGATCCATTGAGAAAATAAAATAGGGCCTCTTAAATTCATGCCCTCCTCCTGCTTTCTGTGTATCACTTTTTACCAGTTGCAAGCAGAATCTTCCACATGTAAGCAGGGGGAAAGAAGCATGTCTTCCTATTATTCAGCCGTCACTTCAATCTGGAAAGAGTTGGATCACTACCAGAGCATTTAGTGGGACAGTGACAAAGATGCCA